TCAAGGCAAATTCTAATTAACAAGATTCAGACCAATATCACACAAGAAACAATAAGGCTCAAACCTCACAAGGTAAATATGTTCCTCATCACAACGAAGCCAATCAATTAAAGATATATTACTCGTGTTCATCATCACAACTTCTCAATTAAACCAACGATTATCAAAAAGCTTGCAATACACCAATGTCCAGACTCTGAAAACACACAGAAACCTAAAAACTAGACTGGTCCACCACATAATCACGTAAAACTCCCCCACACTGAAAACCAGACAATGTCCCCATTGTCAAGTCGCGGTGAAGGAGACAGAAACAAAGAAACAAAGAAACAAAGCAGACCACAGAACAGACCAACGCAAAAACAGAAACAAAGAAGCTGTACACAAATAAAAAGAGAAAGGGAAAAAGAGAACATACAAAGCACAGTGACTTGCATCCGGAGGTGATGGTGGCTGGTGAGGGTGATTGGGACCCGAACCCCAACGGGCGTCCCACTGAGTGAAGCGGTGGTCCCAGCTGTCCATCCGAGCGTCCTGCTGGTCCTGCCGCTCGCGGATGGACTGGAGGCCGCCAGTGAAAGTGTCGAACTGGGTACCCATCTGAGTCCAGTGGGTCTGCTGCCGGGTCTCCCACTGGTCCCATCGAGTGTTCTGCTGTGCCTCCCAGCTGGTCCACTGTGTGGTCTGTCGGCTCTNGTCCTGGGCGTCAAAGCGATCGTGGATCGAGCGGATATCGGCGGTGTACTGATTCTGAAAAGTGGACCACCATGTCGGTGGCTGCTGCGGAGGAATCTCCGGGTGAGAGTTTGGCGCCGGCGTCCAGTCAGGTGGAGGAGGAAGTAAATGGTCCTCGTCGATATTCATCTGCTCATGCGCGTCCTCCGTCGGTTGCCGAGACGACCCAGTCGGATCGGAATTAGGCTGACCCTGCTGGAGCTTTTTGAAATAGGTGTCGTAGGCGGTGCGCTTTGTGTACGGCTTAACCGTAGTCCGATTCCGAATAAGGTCGGCCTGCTTGAGCTCATTGTAGTTGAGACTTCGCATCTCAGACCGCTCTCGAAGCGCTATCTCACCATGAAGTCGGTAGGCTTCTGGGGTGATGTCGAAATGGTTCGCGAGTGCGGTAACAAAGTGCCCCAGTGCCGGTAGTCCACGCTTTGAGAGGGCAATCTCCTGGAAAGAGTTCTGAAGGAAGGTCATGGAACACACTCGCACTCCCGACCGCATCGCCCAGAGGAGAAAAAGCT